TTAATAAAAACACTAAACAAAGACTGCTATTTATGAATGGTAAAAGAGCTTCAGGTAAACTAAGAAAAACCAACCTTTAATTCAGGAAGGCAAATCTAGAACAGTATGTGTACTCCTCACTATTAAAAAAAAAAAAGCATGAATGCTAAAATATAGACCATACTTACTACAACAAATGTTAGATAACGGATTTCTGGGTTTTCACGGAAAGTCATACAAGGGCACAAAGGTAACAGCAGTTGGCTATTCCTTCCTCACAGTTGCCTGGTGGGAAAAAAGCCCCACTAAGATTCAGATTTCAGAAATTTTTCTGTTGCCTAAACTACTGAATTTGTGATACTCTGTATGGCAACCCCAGTAAACTAATGTATTTAGCAGTTATTATAATTTGGAGTACATTACTTCAACATTCTGGATCCTTCATGTCAACAGATATGTCTTTATTTTCTCCTTCCAAAATCCCTTACCAAATATTTTAAAATTTTCTCACTACATTTGAATTATTCGTTACATGCACATTATCTAAAAATACAACTTTTTAAAGTAAAATACCTATGGTAAATATTTAATGCATACACAATGGAACACTATTCAACAGGCAGAAAAGACAAACTCTTGCCATTAGCAGCAAGCCTGATGGTGCTAGAAGGAATTATTCAGTGAAATAAGTCAGAAGGAAAAGTAAAAATACTGAATGGTTTTACTATAGGAAAAATATAGGGAAACCAACCGAAGAATTAAAAAAAAAGATAAAACTTGCAAACAACCTGTAGGTATAAGGCATACAGCAGGGGAGGGGCAAAGAGGAGAGGGATTGAAACATATAGGACTAAGTAAAGAGAAGCATTAACTTTTTTTTTTACTATAACCCCCCAGTGCATTTAACTTTTTAAATCTTTTCATGCTATGAATTAAATATTTACCATAGGTATTTTATTTAAAAGTAGTATTTTAAAAATAAAGATGATCTTAAATACTCCACTACCACTACTGCTCATAAGTGAAAAAATATGATTAACACGTTAAATATCTACTATATGTTAAGTATTATAAGAAGGACTGGATCTTAAGCAAATAATTATTAAACTATCAATATAATAACTGCACAATTCAACTTTCTACAAATATTTATTCTACATACAGATAGTTCAACTTTCACAAAATGTAGCACTTTTTCCTTCTAACTCGCTCCCAACCTCTTCACATTAAAAATTATTTCTAGGGGCCCTCCCTGGTGGCACAACGGGTTAGGGTGTAGCACTGCAAGCGAGCCTCAGCCACTCAGTGCGAGTTCGATCCTCAGCCCCGGAGGTGACCACATGGCCGGCAGACCTCTCCTGAATCACCTGCTGTTCCCCTCAGCAGTGTACTTCATTGATCTGCCTGTTCTGCTCCCCACTCTGTCTCTGGTGAATCCTCTCACTGACCCTGCACCTCTGGCCTGTACCCCAGTTCTGTATGCATAAATAAAACGAATCTTTAAAAAAAATTATTTCCAGGCACAAATAAATATTCCCAGAAAACACTCTATTCTTGCAAGTACTTCACCCAATTTATTATCAGGTACCTAAAGAACACTATTTGAAGAAATTAAGACTAAAGTAAGAGTAAATTTAACAATGAACTAGACACTATTAGAAAAGTTAGGCTCAGACACTAAGTTCACCAGCATATAATAATGTTAATGAAAGGTTAATATAAAGCCACAATTCATCAAGTACAGGTTTCTTCATATATTAATAATATCAAATAATTAGGGTATCGTGAACAAATGCAACATTTAGTCTATTCTTTATTTTCAGAGGTGCACTTAAATACTGATATAACAACCCTCACTGCAATATAAATATCAATTTTTTTCTTTTCCCGCAAATAAGTACTATTAATTAGCCCATAATTCAGGCAGGATAACTATTTAACTCCACAGAAATTAAGATGCTACTCAAAGAATATTACGACTTAGTAAATAAGATAAAATTTTATTCTTCCCTATTTTCACATCAACCATTAATAAATTATTTTCAAAGTCAAGCATTGTATAACTGATAAGTATCTGACAATAGAGAAAACAAAAAAAAGGAGGTAGAAAGGAAAGGGATTTCAAGATCATAAAGTACATTTGATTCACTATGTTGTCCTCTAGCATGAATGACTGCAAAAGAAATAAAATCCTAAATACTAGACACAATTTCAACATATACTACAATGTGGTACATATCAGTCAAAAATATACTGAGCCTTTATGTTCAAAAAATGTCTTTAAAACTCTCCCTAAAGGAGATGCAAATTAAAACCACAATGATACACCACCTTACACCAGTGAGAATGGCACATGTTAAAACAACTAGCAAAAACAATTGTTGGTAAGGATGTGGGGAAAAAGGAACTGTCCTGCACTGCTGGTGGGAATGCAAACTAGTACAACCACTATGGAAAACTGTTTGGGGGTTCCTCAGACTGCTAAAAATGGAGTTTCCATATGACCCAGCAATCCCACTCTTAGGTATCTACTCAAAGGACACAAAAACACTGATTCAAAAAGACACTTGCACCTCCACGTTTATTGCTGCTTTATTTATAATAGGGAAGACATGGAATCAACACAAATGCCCAAAAATAGATGAATGGATTAATAAGATGTGGTACATATACACGATGGAATAGTATTCAGCAATCAAAAAGACAAACACATGCCTTTTGCAGCAACATGGATGAAGTGGGAAGGGATCATGCTTAGTAAAATAAGCCAGAAAGAAAAAGAAAAATACTGATGATTTCACTCAAAGTAGGAGTAAAATGACCAGCGGGGAAAATATTAATGAACAACTATATGCCAGAGACATTTTATGGGGTTGGGGAAGTACCCTGGACTATGGTGATGGCAGGTGGGTGATTTGGTGATTGGAAGCCCACAGGGATTACAACTGAGATGGAAAAGGGCACAAAATGATGTAAAAAATAAACTATTAAAAATAAAAACTTTCCCTAAGAATAGAAAGTAGTAATTTCATTAACAACTTCCAAATAACTCCTGTTTTTCCAACTCAATATTCAAATTAAGCTTCTGTTTCCAAACTATGAATACTCAAGGGGCAAATGTATAAAAATGATGGGAAAATACTGTAAGCTTTTGCTTAGGTATCTAAATCTGATTCAAATCTCAATACTGATCCAAGATACACCTTTTACTTTTATGAATACAATTCTATCATAAAATGAATTTTTTAACATATTCATTTCTTAACTTAACTGACACCCAACCTTCTACATTCTCTAGGCAGATATAACCTGTCTAAGCAACACCTTTTTTATCTTGTTTGCCCTTTATTAAATATGAATGGTAGGTACCATTCTCAACTAGTACACTATTTTTAATATATATTATATATATCTTACCAGCTGAATTATGCATTTAATGAGTCCGTTTTTTGTTCCCAAACCTTTTTAAGGCATTTTATTTGTTGTAGTCTTTACATAAAAACATTACATAAATATAAAGAATATAGCACAAAAAAACCTGTTTTTATATAAAACTAAGTTTAATGTAAATTAAAAATGACTGAATAGGCCCTCCCGGTGGCACAGTGGGTTAAAGCACAGCATTGAGAAGCTAAAGCCACTTCCTCATGAGTTCGATTTCCGCCTGCCCCGGAGGTGATCACATGGAGTGGCAGACCTCTCCTGACCTGCCCACTGCTCCCCTCAGCAGTGTACTTCGTAGATCTGCCTGTTCTGCTCCCCACTCTGTCTCTGGTGAAGCCTCTCGCCACCCCTGAGCCTCTGGCCTGTACCCCAGTTCTGTATGAACAAATAAATAAATCTTTAAAAAAAAATGACTGAGTAAACAGAGGATTCATTCTTTTAAAAGTTACTAAGCTAATAAAGGAGACATCTGCAAAATATTAGGGAAAATCCTATACAGTTAAAAGAAACTACACAACTATACATAGGGTTTTTCAAAAGTATATTAAAGCTTTTATTCCATTTCAGATACATCAAACTGGAAACTTGCAGATTCAAGCTTTTAGAGATATGTAATCAAGAATAACATCTTTCAATATCATATCAAGAGGTAGCAATTAAGTATACATTAAAAAGTTGGGAATGAGTATACAGGTTTTACATTAAAATTTTTAAACACTGGGGCCTCCCCATTGGCATAGGGGTTAAATCTCAGCACTATCAAGCTATCACCAACCATTGTGGCATGAGTTTGATTCCAAGCCAGGGTGCTAACAACCCACACGGTGCAACAGACTTCTCCTGTCTCACCTACTTCTTCCTTCAGCAGTGTATCTCAATAGATCTACATGTTCTGTTCCCCACTTGGTCTCTGGTGAATCCTCTCACCTCCTGCAACTCTGGCCTTGCATGCATAAATAAATCTTAAATTTTTTTTTTTAAAGATTTATTTATTTATTCATACAGAACTGGGGTACAGGCCAGAGATGCGGAGGGTGAGAGGATTCACCAGAGACAGAGCGGGAAGCAGAACAGGCAGATCAATGAAGTACACTGCTGAGGGGAGCAGCGGGCGGGTCAGGGGAGGTCTGCCACGCCATGTGGTCACCTCCGGGGCAGGCGGGGATCGAACTAATGCGGAAGTGGCTTTAGTTTCTCAGTGCAGTGCCTTAACCCGCTGCGCCACCAGGGAGGGCCTTAAAAAATTTTTTTAAACGTTAAGGTTCGCATATTTTTATTTTCCTGCTTTTAAGTTTCTAACAACCTAACAGATAATTGTCTCAATCTCCTGATGTATGAAGGCTTTTCATTTTTTTCCCCCTACATATCTTGCTTAAGGTATGTTATACCAACTAGATAAATACTACATGTCTTTGTAACAGAGTATATAGTAATAAGTACTCCAACTTTATGGAAAAAAGTATTAGAGTATACCCACAAAATCAGGATATTTATTCTGTTCACAGACGTATCCCAAAAACATCTAAAATGAATAGGTGATGCTTAATGTGCATTTGCTCAATGAAAGAGTAACTTACTGTGATAACAGCTTTGCTAAGACAGATGGAGCCTCTGCAGCCATATTCCGTCTCATCTTCAGATTTGTAGTAACTCAGAGTATTTTTTTTTAAAACTACCCAACGATCCTGCCATCCATGAATGTAGTTTGTCCACTGGGGATTAGGAGAAAAGGAAGGAAGAAGAAAGCAAAACATCAAGTCAGTATTTTAGAAATCTGTACTTTCTAAAATGGCAATCTTATTTTAACTAGTGTTAAAGTTCTAACTTAATTATAATTATTAAAAATGATCATAAAAAAATGATCATAAAAAGGAAATAGTTCTGTCTAGATTGTATAGACTACTAATTTTCAATAGTATTTACAAAATTATAAGTAGATAACATCATATTTTCTTCTCTTTAACATTTGAGGAATAAAACTAAAGCAAATTTCAATAAAAACTCTGATTTTTTTCCTTTGTGTGCTTTCATTAATTTTCTCTTACCACCTTCATGACACTTAATTATCTCTGTGATAATTAACATATTCAACAAAAAAGTAAGTTTGGTTATACAGTCTTTCATTCTCCTTTACCAGGTATTCCATGAAATAATCAGTTAAGTTATTCCTATATAGCAATTTGTGAAGCTCAGAGTTACATCAAAGTAAAAATACTAGATCACTAATATTTAGTAGTTTACTGATTCATTTTTTCCTCCACAGAAATCAACAGTACATATTTAAAGTAGTTAATTCATTTTGCAAATTTCTCTGAAGATGTATTTTTCCAAACCTGAGTGAGAAAGCAAATACAAACTTTAAAATATTTATATTATGTTTCCAGTATCTAGGAGTGATTTCTTAGTTGTCAAAGGCTTGTCGTATACTGATTATCACAATCAATAAACTTGCAAACAGAAATGTGATTTCTTTGGGAATTCTTGATTTCACATATTTTTATGCTCTGGTGATTTTAAGCATAGGCAATTCTGAAAACTATCTGCCAAAACCAAAATCTAATGGATTGCTAAAAATATACTGCATTGGCTCAAGGTCTTTACTCATTGAGAAATCTTTACTTTCTATTCACTAACTCAGCATTTTCAGATGATGCCACTCTTAAATTTTCTAAGTCCCACATTGAGAGCTGATATATACTTGCAATTTAACTTATTTTTTTTCCTTAAGGAATCCCCAATCACCATTTCCTTGTTTCTAACTCCCTGGAATAACCACTTAGACACAGACTTGAAATTATGATAGTTACACATCAAAATGATTCACCTCCTGTCCATTTCTGCCAACCTACTTTCTTGGCTATGCACTATTTCTGTAGTCATTTAGACTGAACCCTGGTTGAGAGTTAGTGCACTGATTGGATAGAGTAGTGAATACAGGATCAAAGAGACTCAACTAAACCACTGGGATGTTGGAAAAGTCATGATGTGTTTTTGTTTTTCATAGAAAACATCATGACTTTTCTGACAACCCAATAGTTTCGTCAAGGTTACTTTTCCGAGCTTCAGTTTCTTCACCTGTTATTTGAGTGGCTAAATAAACTCATGAATACATGTACCACAGGTAAATAATACATGTTTACTTCTTAATATCTATAGCTGGGAGTCAACTCCTATTCACCTTTCTTTAATATTAAACCCTTAAATTTGGTTCCTCTCTATTTTCATTTAATCCAACTCAATTATTAGGTTCTTGAATTCCTGAGAGAATTAGCATTACCTCTAGTACATTCTGCTTTTTATTTCATAACTTACATAATCCTATTTACTTATTTACGTATATCTGTTTACTACATATTAAACCTCCAATTCCAAAATGTAGATGGGACAACTCACCGCCTATAATACAAATTACTTAGACTAGCATGATTTAATCCTACCTTGTTTCCAGTTACTGCCCTTCAAAGGGCTAGTAACTGTGTGACTGTGGTCAAGTTCCTTATCCTCCCTGTGGTTCCTTGTCAAACTCTATCTCCTTGAGTAGTTAAGATTAAACAAGAATAGACTTACAACACTGCCAGGCACACAATATTTTTTCACTTGGACACAAAGTTATGCAAAGCTAATGAAGCTTTAACCTTCAGCACAGTTCACTAGAACAGATCCCTTCCAAAGTGACAGAAGGGACCACATCATAATAATTTTATATTACTTTTCCATGAAAGACACAAGAAATCAATAAACTTCTGGATACTTAGTAAATGTTGGCTGCTAATATCACATCTGTAAGATGTGATATTATTTTTTTTTATATTTTGTAATAGTTTGTTTTTACATATTTTGGTGCATTTTTCCATCAAGGCAGGTATTTTTCTTTACCCTAGTAACATTCCCTCAGTCTCACCCATTTAACTGAGACAAATCAATATGCTAGACACTGCAGGAGAAGCAAAGGTTTCTGCATTCCAAGTTCAGCAAGCATAAATTCAAGAGGGAAAAATATATTTAAAATAAGAGAAACCAAGTTTACAAATAAAATATTATAAGAATTCAAGTAAAGAAAATCTGGGATGATTAGCAAAAACAGAAAAAGCTCCACTGAAAGAATAGTATTTGGGATGGACTATAAAGATGATTTCAGCCAACAGGTGTACTGTGTAATAGAAAATAAGGCTGGTTGGTGGCAAATTCAGATGAAGCTGAACGAGATTTTATTTTTAAGTCCAGGCTTAGTTCTACTAAGGCATGAATTTTTTCTAACCATGCCTTATTTTGGGACAGTATTTTGGAATGTACATGCATGAGAAATAATTCTGTAGAAAATACACTTCACAGGTTATTTTAATCTTTTAGATTACTAGATTTTATAGGAAAAGAAAATATTTGAACTGGTATATTTCTAAAATAAGTTTAACCTCTTCCTATTCCAAGCTAGGAAAGAGGGAAAGAAACAAAACCAATTAGCATCAGCACTTACCTGTATTACTCAATAGCAGGAAAAGAACAGATTTTGAGTTCTCTTGTAGAAATCACCAAGAGACTACAAAGGGCTCAAAACTGTATATGCACTTTAAGTATAAAAACATGTATCATACTCACTATATATTTAACATAAAACTCTTGATTATAAAGCTTCCAGAAAACATGACTAGCCACGGATAGCTAAATTTCAAGGAAACTTCCTGTATGGCTATTAATAAAAACACCAAAACCTATATTCCTGTTGATTCTACACATGCAGCAGCATTGAAGTAACAGACATGTATTCATCTACATTTCTTCACATTTAAATATCAAGGAGATAGGCCTGCATTTGTTGTCATATAGCATACCTAGTACACTGCTCTGTATACAGTTAATACTCAGAGTATGTTGACTCCACTAGTAACTTCAATTCTCTTGTCCCTCTCTCACTTCCCCCAAAAGCCAAGAACAGTATGTCAAAATGTAGTCTGTTTTGTAAGATACTTAACACCACAATACAAATTTGGAAGTCTGCTTCCCATCTAATGAGAAAAGTGATGAAACTACCAGAATCATTGAGAAACAAAGAAGCCATTTCAAGGAAGCCATCTGAAAATGTATACCTATTACAAAATGTGTTCAATACAAATTCCTAAATTACAAGATACTTTTGACTTCAGAACCTCTAGGGAGCATCATTTTACTGAAAAACCTCTCACTGAAATTCCAAGAACCATCATAATACCAACTCACCATACTTTTCTGCTAGGCAAATGAAAGTTAATACTTGAGGTCCTGGTTCTGACAGACTCATTCTTTCCTAGGTTCTTTCTTACCAGTCTTTTAAACACAATTATAAAAACCTAATATATTACAATTCTGCTAATGATGTTCAAAGGTTTGGCCAATGTATACTGAAAGCAGGGTGATTTCTTAATAGCCAGTGGCTGCACATGATCTAGTATCTTATGACCAGCTTGTTGAGGGATGGCCCCAGTTCCCTGCCTCCACCCACTCCACATTAACTGCTAGCTACAGTCATTTCTAAAAGTTTAAGAAAAAGAGAAGTCAAAAAGGCAATGTGGATTTTCTCGTAACACAAGTTTAAACACACACACACACACACAAAACCCACTAAAACCTCCCAGGCCAAAACTATGCACTATTAAAGACGACCCACCTTCCTTCTTTTAAAAGGGTCCATTTTTAGTTTTGAAACCCTATAAACGACTACTTGCTTTGCTAAAATTTCAAAAACGTTAAAACCAGAAAACATTTTCTTATTAAACAGTGTTGTTGTTTCTGGACTAAAGGTTGGCCTCCATTCTGACATGGTTCAAGTTACCATGAAAATTTCTTGTACCAATCACATGCTGATTCAATATCTCTTCTTTGAACTGGGGGTAAAAGATGAAGAGGAAAGTACAAAAGTCATCCTCATTCAGATCTTACTACATCTAACCTGGCATAGTTTACCATCTCAGATTTCATCACCAAGCCGAATTACTCCGGCTTCTGGGTAAAAAGCGTCCACCGCAGATCCCCTCACTCACTCAGCTCGGCACCTCCAGACTAACCTCGTTTGAGAGGTCCCATTGGCATAGTTCCCGTATTCAGTCGTTCGGACGCTACCCTAAGCCCAACCCGGATTCCTACACCCGGGACAGCTGCTGCCCTGGGTCCCAAGTCACGTTGCTCACCCCATCCAGGGATCCCTCAGGATCCCTGAGGTTGGGACACATCTTCCCCGGTCCTTGGTGGCTGCCGAGCTCCACGGCCGGAGAAGAGGAGCCTCCCTTCTCCCCAGTCCCCTACCCCAGCCAAGGCACTCCTGCGGCAGCACTCAGCCCCGCAACCCGGTCCATTCCGCAGCCCCCGCCCCGGGACGGGCAGCGCTTCCTACCCAGCCATACCCTGTGTACTCAAGAGACCCGCCTCGCGGCAGGTGAGTTCGGGCCGGAGCCGCTTGGCCCGCGGCTGGCTCACCTTGCTGAGGACCCCGCAGCGCTCCACAGGCGGCCCGGACTCCGTCTCCGGATCCTCCTCCGAGCCCGACGAATTCCAGCTCTGGTTATCCGACATGGAGGCGCGACAGCCGAGCAGGAGACCGGCCCCCGCTCCCCGAACTGCGCCGGAGGAGGCGCCCAGTCCCTGGGGTGAAGGGTCGGGGGCTAGCGAAGGGAAGAGTGCCCGCTCCGGCGTGGTGGGGAGCTGGAGGAGGGACGAAGTCCGCCCGCCCCGCTGCGCCGCCGCCGCCGCGCCTGACACCGAGTGGACCGGGGAAGGAGGACGAGCGGCGAAGTAAGCCTGTCCTTCCAGCCGTCAGCCGCCACCCCCACAGTCGCCGTGACTCTTGCGCTGCGCCCGGCTCCACGACCCAAAATCAGCCCCCCAGATGCCAATCTCAAACACGGAAGGAAAGGGGAGGAAGAAGAGGAGCGAAAAATGCGTCCGCAGAGACCCACTCACAGCTCCGCTACCGCCGCCATCTTCCAGCCTGGCCCACTATTTACCCTCCCCTCCCCTCTCCCCTCCCCTCTGTCCTCCCCTCTCCCCCTATTCCCCGCCCCGTCCCCCTCCCAACGTCTGACGTGACACGCTGCGGGCTCGGGGTTCCCCCCCCGCCCCCCACCTCCGGCCTTCCCGGGTGACGCCGGGTAGAAAAATAGGAGGAGCGAAGAAAGGAGAGGGTGGGATAGGGACGTCACTGTGCTGCATTCTGGGAAGGACGCTTCTCCGCCAGCCGCGCAGCCTCCTGGGAGTTGTAGTCACGCTATTGAAAGCAACTGGTGAGTGTCCGGTGCCCGGGCGAGCTGTTCTACTGTGTACGGTCAATGGGTGGGTGGGCTTGGTCCCCTCAGCTTATCTTCTATCTCTGCCTAGCGTGTTTATGACGAATCTGCTGGACTTGCGGGCCCGGACGTGAGCTAGCTCTCCGCTGAGGATGCTTGGTTTGCTTTCTGTGGCGGCTCCCTGAAAGCCCGGGAACATCTTTCCGCCCGCTTGAGCGGGAGTGTGCTGGCGCTTCCGCCTTAGTCGCGGGCCAGGGGCTTGTGACAGCTCATATGCCATAGGGTTTCTTTCCGCCAAACCACTTCTGCAAATTTCGAAGTTCTTCCATCTCCTTCTTTAGAAGTCGGACTTTGATGTTTCTCGCTTTGGAAGGGAGAATTCTCAGTCCTTACCAGAACAAACGTGTACATTATTAGATTCCCAGTCTTTGTTTTGTGGCAAGTAATTTTGAGAATATCAAGCGTTTGAACAGTGAGCTGATATTGCTTGGAATTTTCTTAGTTGTGAGTCTCTTCCTCAGAGCCAAGCGAACCCACCTCGACCTACCTCCCTGTGAAAGATTAGGCTGGAATAGAAATTTTATTGAAAAAGAAAAAAGCCCACAAGACCTGCGATGGTCTTACTGAATAAGATTGTTTTAAGAATTGAATTAGTGAAAAGACATAGAAATGCTAACACATCTTGTCTAGTCTGTTTGCATGCATGACAAGATAAATTTTATTGAGATCTTTAACTTTGTAACTTCAGTTCTTTCCTGTCATTTGCTTTAACATCTTGTCAATTTCCTAATAATTGCCGGCGTACTATTTTTTATATGTTTATTATTACATAATTTTGTACATTTTTTTTTCATCTCAATTGTAATCCCCGTCGGCTTCCCATCACCAAGTACCCCAGGTGCCATCACCATAGTCAAGTGCACTTCTTCCCTCCCCCCCCCTTTTTGATCCCATTTCCCACTCCACTCCTCAAAATGTCTCTGGTATATGGCTGTTCATTATTCTTATTATTTTCTCGCCTGGTCCATTCTACTCCTGCCATGAGCGAAACCATCCGGTATTTTTCTTTCTCTTTCTGGCTTATCTCACTAAGCATGATCTTTTCCAACTCCATCCAAGTTGCTGCAAAAGACATGTGTTTCTTTTTTGGTTGCTGAGTAATATTCCACTGTGTATATGTACATCTTTTTAATCCAGTCATCTACTTTTGAGTATTTGGGCTGTTTCCATGTCTCTCCAATTTGTAAATAAAGCAGCAATAAACATGGGGGTACAGGTATCTTTTTGAATCAGTGTTTTTGTGTCTTTTGGGTGGATACCTAGGAGTGGGATTGCTGGGTCTAGGGAAGCTCCATGTTAAGCAGTTTGAGCAACTGCCAAATAGTTTTCCACAGTGGCTGTACTAGTTTGCATTCCCACCAGTAGTGCAGGAGAGCTCTTTTTTCACCACATCCTCACCAGCATTTGTTGTTGCTATTTGTTTGAAGATGTGTCATTCTGCCTGGGGTGAGGTGGTATCTCATTGTGGTTTTAATTTGCATCTCCCTTATTACAAGTGATGTTGAACATTTTTTCATATGCTTGTTGGCCATCTGCATTTCCTCTTTGGAGAAGTGTCTTTTTAGCTCTTCTGCCCATTTTTTTGATGGGGTTGTTTATTTTTGTTGAGTTTCATCAGTTCTCTGTATATTTTTGTGATCAGTCCTTTATCACTGGTTTTATGTGAGAAGTTTTTTCCCGATTAGTGGGCTGTTTGTTTGTTTTTTGTAAAGTCTCTTTTTCTGTACAGAGCTCTTTAACTTGATGTAGTCCCATCTATTTATCCTTGCCTCCACTATCGTGGCATTGGGTGCTCTATCTTTAAAGATGTCGCTGAAGTGTATGACTGATATAATGTTTCTTATTAAACGGTAGGAAGACTGTCCTATTACTATCAGGATAAAAAGATAGGAGTGAAATTTTGAGTCTCGGGGAAAGACAGTGTTCAGAAATCACTAGAATCTTCAGGAAACAATGTCGTGATACCTATAATACTATTCCCATAGATTGAGTGATTGATGCTAAATCTACTGTAAATAAGCTACAAATAGTTTTTCCATTGTGAAGTTGCATGATCATGCATAATTTAAAGCCCCTCAGATGAATAAAACTTTGAGAGAAATAATAAAATGTTCTTTATTGAATTATTATGTTTAGAATGTTGAATTCTGTAGCAATGAGGTTTTGTTTTGCCTTCCAATTAGCTAGTATAGGCTTCCAATATAACAAGATTTTAAAATATCCTTAATAAATCAGTGAATTATTAAGAAATCCACTTTAGGGGACTCCTTGGTGGCACAAGGAGTTTAAACACAGCCCTAGGAAGTTGTCGTCCAAGCCACTGCAGCATGAGTTGGATCCCCCACCAGGAAGGTGATCCACATGGCATGGCAGACCTCTCCTGATCTGCCCGCTGCTCCCCTCAGCAGTGGATTTCAGTAGATCTTCCTGGTCTGCTCTCCATTCTGCTCTCTGGTGTAGCCTTCCAATGCCCCCCACCTCTGTACCCCTGTTCTTGTGTGTGTAAATAAATACATCTTTAAAAAATCCACTTCATATGCATTTTACACTCATGGAAGCATAGTATTTTTTCACTGAATTTTTATGTATTTATTTTTTATGTGTATCTAGGTTTTATGTGGTGTAACTGCAAGCTCTTAGGTCATCAAAGTTCCCACTTATTCAGTAGAAGATTGCTTCAATTTAGTATTAACATGAAATTTCCTTTTTAAAAAATATTTTTAGCTCTTCTATTTATAAGACTATAGAAAATGTTTTTAGTACAGAAGCATTTTTGCATACTAGTTAGAAAGCCATATTAGAAGTTTGGATTCACTTCATTTCTATTGACGGTAAGAAACTAGTACAAACAAAATTGTGAGCTTTATTTGGTGGGGAGAATGTTATTTTCTAGTTTTTCTCTCTCACTACAACTTTCCCCAACCTTCTTATAAATGTTTTTTTTCTATGTATCTCTCGTTGTGTGTCCACATTATGTGGACTTTACTTTTGTATATGGAATGAGGTAGGTTTTTTGTTTTTTTTTTTAGCAGTCAGTTGGCCCAACACTTCATTGAATAGTTTTTTTCAAACTCTTGTGTCTCATACACCTAGGTCAAGTTCTGGACTTCATTCTCTTTTATTGATCTATTTGTGTAACCTTTCTTAAAACCATATTGACTTATTCTTTAATTTTTTAGTTTTGACATATAATAGCAAAATTCTTTTGATGTTCTTCATTAGAGTATTTTTGTATATCTCTTTCAGATGAATTCTAGAAAGCCTTGTGAAATTGCATTAAAAATTTCTGTGGAAATGACATCTTTACAAAATATAAGTGTTAGCCTTGTTCATTCACTTTACATCCTGATCTGACTTATTCCTTACAAACCATATACTGTGAGCGGACTTGGTCCCATTTTAAGGATCATGAAGATCCTTAAAATTCAGAGAGGCTATGTAACTTATATAACACTAAGTCACTAACTGGAAGAGTTAAGATTTAATTTCAAAGATCATATCTTTTTGCTTTAAGATACCTCAAGAAGTGTAAATAAGGCTTGTGTAAATAAATAATAAATCCTGTAGATAAATATATTAGAGCAATTATGCCCTTATTTCAGCTAATGATTTTGCACATCTTTGTTCTTCAGCCTTATATCTATGCTCTTATTTAGCTCCAGTGTAGAATTTGAGATTTCTGTTATTTTCTAAACTGAACTACCAAGAAGATAAATTGTTTTCCACAAGTCATATAGCTGATAAAGAGCATAGCTACATTTTGAACATAAATATCTTGATCCCAGAGTTCATTATTATCCCACTCGAGGTCTTCACCAATTCTTCTGTCTTCCACCTCACCCGATTCTCCCAAATTTTATCTCTACTAGACACCTATCCCAAAGCCTTCATCTCTCCCCTCTGCTCCCACTGCTAAGACACAGAAGTGAAAAAATCCGCAGAAGCCAAAACTGAGATTGGTGAAGGATGATTTTACTGATCAAAGGAATGAGGGGAAAAATATGTTCTTGATGCGAGGACAAGGAGAGGATGTTTAAGTTGACCTGAAAACATCCTATTAAAATATATATATAGACATTCTGTGGGGGCGGAGTGGGGAATGGGATCAAAAACGGGGGGGGGGGAAGGGAGGGAAATGCATGGGACTATGGTGGTGGCACAGGGGTGATCTGGTGATGGGAAACCCGCGGGGATTACAATCGAGATGAAAAAAAAAAATGTGCAAAATGATGTAAAAATAAACTTTGTAATAAAAAATATATATATATAATAGTTTATTTATTTATTTATTTATTAACATAATAGCTTATTTTTACATCATTTTGTACATTTTTTTTTTTCATCTCAATTGTAATCCCTGTGGGTTTCCCATTACCGAGTCACCCAGGTACCATCACCATAGTCCAGTGCACTTCTGCCCTCACTTGGTCCATTATACTCCTGCTATGAGTGAAACCATCCAGTACTTTTACTTTTCTTTCTGGCTTATTTCATTTTCATTAAGCATGATCTTTTCTAGCTCCATCCATGTTGCTTCAAAAGACATGTGTTTGTTTTTTTTTGGTTGCTGGGTAATATTCCATTGAGTATATGTTCCACATCTTTTTAAGCCAGTCATCCACTTTTGGGCATTTGGGTTGTTTCATGTCTTTCCAGTTGTAAATAAAGTAACAATAAACATGGGGTGCAGGTGTCTTTTGAATCACTGTTTTTGTGTCTTTTGGGTAGATACCTAGGAGTGGGTTTGCTAGATCATAAGGAAGCTCCATGTTTAGCAGTTTGAGGAACCTCCAAACAGTTTTCCATAGTGGTTGTACTATTTGCATTCCCACCAGCAGTGCAGGACAGTTTCTTTTTTTCCACATCCTCACCAACATTTGTTGTTGTTAGTTGGAAAACATCCTTTTTTTTTTTTTAAGATTTATTTATTTATGCAT